AACCCCATTAACTTAAATATTATTTCATTTTCATTTTCATCTTCAACCCATTGTAACCATTTTCATTTTCCCATTTTCATTTTCACGAACGAATCAAACCCAGCTCGCACTTCTTCTTCACATTGTAACCCATTTTCATCTTCAACCCATTGTAACCATTTTCATCTTCCCATTTTCATTTTCACGAACGAATCAAACCCAGTTCACATTTCTTCTTCACATTGTAACCCATTTTCATCTTCCTATTTCTTCAAACCCAGTTCTATATCAAACCACAGCTCGCTTCAAGTTAATTTGCATCTCGCTTCCCGTCGTTTCTGAAATGGCAAACCGAAGTTACGTGTCGAGGTATGTTTCGTAACTCAACTCTGAATACAAAAACCCTAAACATGCAAATGGCGTTTGTGTTCTGTCATAGCATATGATTTGTTAATACCAACTCTCGGTTTTATCTATGGTTTAATTCAGAAACTGTCGTTTGTGTTTTGTAGGCCCTCTGATACCCAAGCTGTCAGATTTAGAGTACACCATAGGAGATTTATATCAGATCAACAGAAGGTTAGTTTTACAGTGCTATTATTTGTTACAATGTTGTTTGATATGTTGATTTGTTTTGGTGAAACTTTATACAATACTAAGACTGCCATATACTGCTATATACATAATTTTTGTTTCCTAAGACTGCTATATACTGCTATATACAATGCTGATTATAACTGCTAATTATATACAATGTTGCTCATGGGATATGTGAAGTTAGTTATGTTATGCTTGGGATAGGTGAATTTGTATTAAAAGGTGAATTTGCAATAATAGTCTATTGTAGCTTGGAAAAATTTTGTTATGCTTGGGATATGTTAAGTTAGTTATAATATTGTAAAGTTAGTTATAATATTGTGAAGTTAGTTATAATTATGTTATGCTTGGGATAGGAAGGTTATAACTTATACTGTTAGCAATTGTTAGAAAGTGTTATGTTGTTGAATTGGATTATTAGGGACTTGTTATACTGTTGTTGAAGTTAGCTCGAATTTGATAGGTTGACAGTTAGAATTAGGGACTTGTTATAGGTGGATTAATGGATTATTAGAGTGAAAATACTGTTAGGATGTTAAATGGAATTATTAGAATGAAAATATTGTAATGGAATTTGTAGAATTATTAGAATGAAAATATTGTACTGCTATTAGAGTGAAAATATTGTAATGAAAATATTGTACTACTATTAGAATTATTAGAGTGAAAATATTGTAGTGAATTATTAGAATGAAAATACTGTTAGGAAGTTAGTGGAATTTGTAATTGGTACTGCTATATACTGCTGCCTGCTGCCTGTTGAAATGTTGGTGTGGTACTTATAATTTGGTGAGGTACTTATAATTTGGTGTTGTACTGCTATTAGAATTATTAGAATTATTCGAGTAAAAATATTGTAGTGAATTATTAGAATGAAAATATTGTACTGCTATTAGAGTGAAAATATTATAATGAAAATATTCTACTGCTTTTAGAATTATTACTGCTATTAGAGTGAAAATATTGTAGTGAATTATTAGAATGAAAATACTGTTAGGAAGTTAGTGGAATTTGTAATTGGTACTGCTATATACTGCTGCCTGCTGCCTGTTGAGATGTTGGTGATGTACTTATAATTTGGTGTGGTACTTATAAATGGTTGCAATGCTTAGAAGTTATATACAATGTTGCTATATATAATGTTGCTGCTGTTATATACTGATAGATGCTGTTATTTCAAGGATTGGTACCGGCTATTCTTGAGACAAGCCAACATGTTGAACACAAACTATGTGTTAAACACTTGTATGGCAATTGAAGAAAGAAATATCTGGGGATATTTATGAAAGAGGCTTTATGGCGGGCAGCTAGAGCCACAACAATTCCTGCATGGGAAAGAGCAATAAATCATATGAAAGAGCTCAATGTCAATGCTTGGAAAGACATGATGGATGTCCCAACTGCATGTTAGACTCGGTCTCATTTCAAAACAGACACACAATGTGATTTGCAAGTCAACAATATGTGTGAGGCTTTTAATCATGCAAGTGCAAGAAATGTGGGAGTTTTGGCCATAACAAATGAACGTGTAAAGGGAAGCGAGCTGCGGAGAGAGCGATTCCTAAAGGTGGCAACAAAAAATCTAAAAAAAATGGTGACAAGTCGGGCAATGAAGCGGGAGAAACTGTTGTAGACGGAGGGTCGCAAGCACCGCCACCAACCAAAGAATAGTTCTATGTTTTGCTTTACTTTTTGTGATGCTGCTATAGCATATGTTATGACCAAAAAACTCAATGTCTTTTTGTTAAAATATGTTGTCTTTAATGTTGTCGTCAATGTAATGATACATCGGTCTTGAACTTCTGTTGCAAGTGTATACATTCACTATTAATTTTTTATAACAGATATATTATGAAGTGTTCTTTACTACTGTGTCAAATTCTTCTCTAAATGTGACTAGTACTTCAAAGCAGCTGTAGCAGGAAAAAAATGAAAAAGATATTAGCCCAATTTTGAGCATGTACAATGCCAGTATGCCACATGACACATAAATTCTAAGCCAATTTTGAGCATGTACGAGCCCTTTATGTACTGCTTCTAATGCAAGAGAAGTTTGTGAGTTGTCAAGATATGCCACTTATAAAGATGAAGGGTGTTTTAACAGAACTCTTGGAGTGGTGATTTGTGTTTGAAACGGTTTAAACTACCATAATGTGTTTTAACAGAACTCTTGGAGCGGCGATTTCTGTTATTGGTTACACTATGAACTTTGATATTGTAGCAAAATGCGAATAAGTGTGGCTGAAGCAGTTGCAATGCTGCTGTCGAGACCCCTAAAATCTTTATATGCGACCAAAATTATAGATGCAATTGAAATTTAAAACTATGATTAGAATCATAATTTCTCATAGCATTAAATAATTGTTATATTCTTCATCATCCTTTTACATTTTCACTTTTTTTTTCTTCTTCTTCAAGTTTTGATCCTTATAGTTTTTGGTTGAGTTTGTTAGGTATGCAGTAGTGACAGGCTCAAACAAAGGAATTGGGTTAGAAATAGTTAGGCAGTTAGCTTCAGCTGGGATCAAAGTGGTGCTTACAGCTAGTGTAGCCTCTCTTGCACATTTTGTCAAATCCCAATTTGGAAAACTTAATATTCTGGTAACATCCAAAAATAGACAATTCTTATATCAACGCAGGGATTATTGGAACTATAATCAATAACAAAGAGTTATTTAATCTCGCTGTCATCAACTGCGGGATCACTTCTTCCTCTTCTTCAGTTATCCGATTCACCGAGAATTGTTAATGTATCATCCACTTTGGGACAGTTAGAGGTAATACACAATTCCTTTACCGTCGTCACATGATTTTCACAAGATCTTACTCTTATCTTTATTCATGTCATTTCTAGAGTATGCCAAACGGATGCGTAAAGAGTATATTCAGTGATGGTGATAATCTATCAGAAGAGAAAGTGGATAAAGTATTGAAGAAATTTCTGAAAGATTTCAAAGAAGGTTCATTAGATGAAGACAATGGCTGGCCTAAGACTTTGGGTGCCTACATCGTTTCTAAAGCTTCTATGAATGCTTATACAAGAGTTCTCTCCAAGAAGTTTCCTACAATAAGCATCGATAGTGTTTGTCCTGGTTATGTCGTAACCGATATAACTGCCAATACTGGTTTGTTATCGGTTGAAGAAGGTGCTGCTAGTGTTGTGAGACTAGCACTGCTTCCTAATGGTAGTCCATTCGGTTCTTCTTTTACAGGAGTGAAGTGTCTTCCTTTTGATTAGTACTCAAAATTTATGTTTTGTTGGGTAATCAGATTAATTAAGCGCTTATAGCATGAGCGCTAATGATATGTGTACTTACTGATAAGCTATTTGACACTTCCCCCACCCATTGTGTTAATTCGATTTTTGAAAATTCTAATGAATTATGAGATACCCCTTTTGAGCATTTGAGTTTTGAGACACAGAAGTTTTTGTCTTTGGGTTCAAATCTGAAGTTTAACGTTCTGGGCTCACATGGGTCAAATCAAAATCTCTTCTTCTTGTTGTTCTATTTTCTCTGAGCAATTGATGAGAATTATAGAAATGCGTATTAAGAGATAAATGTTGGACTGAGAAAAGTGAAGCTCGAAGAAGCGTAGGAAGATGGAGACGTAGGTGAAGGGTACCTGAAGGTGAAGATTAGATAACTGGTTATTGCGATGGTTTCAACATTTTGTAGTTATTTCTGTGTAACAATTGTGTTGTATGTAATGTACTTTTGGGATGGAAGAAGGGAGTTATTAAGGGAAAATGATTGTTGCAAGTAAGAAATTGATAAAGCGTGTGGTGTTCTTCGTGAAAAAAAAAGGGGTTGATGAATGGTTGAAGAAATGGGTTTGTTAAAATGGGTTGAAGATGAAAAGCTGGGTTTTTTATTTAAGTTTTATTTTATTAAATTTGTGAAAATGAAATAATATTTAAGTTAATGACATGGAAATTATATTAATTTTAAAAAGACCATTTTAACTGACATGAAAATGCCACATCAACATTCAACGCGCCACCTCATTAAAACATGACTTAAAATGACAAGGAGATTAATATTAATCTTGAAACCTAAAAAAGAGACCAAAATCGTGGTTTTTAAAATGGGGGAATCAAAACTAAAAAAACACAAAATAGAGGGACCAAAGTTACAATTAAGCCTTTTATTTTTACAGAAGATCTAATCTTTTTAAGTAATTATAAAAGAAACATAAATATTTTCTATTTACAGAAAATATCTAATCAAACCTAGTCTATCTAAATTTGGCCGTAGGCCCTTATTAACCAGTTACCAGCATTTTCTATTTCCACACCCCAGTCATCGGTCATTGTTTTGTTATTAAAAAAAAGTCTTCAAGATTTAGGGCCGGTTTGTCTAATCCCCAACAGAACACCTCTCATTTTACTCAATTTAGTTGGAAAAAAAAATTCAACAACGAGAATGAAGATCAACAGTAGGGAAACATGGAATCCTCATCATGGAGATAATACTTGTCTGCATCCTGTGAGCGCGCTAATATACACCCTCTCTTTTCATTTTCATATCAATCTTTTCTTTTACTTTCTTGTTGCAAGTTTCGCTACCATTTGGAAATAGACAAGTGGTAGGGAAACTTCATATTGAACGTGTGTCTAATGTAAGGTTGTTGCAAGTAGCGAAACAGCGAGTTTGATCATTGTTTTGTTACTCTAATGTAAGGTTGTAGCAAGTGGTAGAGAATTGGAGCACGAGGCGGTGATAATTGGGGGTATGGTGTTGGATATTCATGCCGCACCTTCCATCCATGCAAATCCAGGAACTACTACCCCTGGCAAGGTTAGTTAACAAAGAAATCAAACCTAGCAGTGGACTCACTCGTCTTTGATCTTATCTATACTATGATATAACTTCACCAAAAGAGCTCAAATTTATATATAAAATGACATCAGACACGATACTGACATTGAATCACAATGATGCAGTAATAATTTGAGAAAGTAGAATTGATTGTATAAATCACTTAGTGTCGGTGACACTTTGACACACCTTCAATATGAAGTTTCGCTGCTGCATAATCCACGATTCGGTAGTTAGTACTCGATGCTGAAATGAAAGATGTTGCCAGCTCAATATTGTTAAAAGTTGTTTATTGATTTTTTCTCTTTTTTTTTTGTTGCCTAACTTATTCTGGAGATTTCTTTTGTCAGGTCTTCTATATGCAAGGTGGTGTGGCAAGGAATGTAGCAGAATGCATGTCAAAGCTAGGAGCAAAGCCATATATGATTAGTGCTCTTGGCTTTGACATGGCCGGTAACATTCTTTTTATTTTATTTTATACCATTTATCATGGTTAACACTTGACATTTAAGACAAGCCGCTTCATTGCATCTTCACTTGGTCTAAATTGAAATTTTTAGTTATTCTTGCTCGAAACATATCTCTTATTCATTTTTCTATAGCACAAAACTAGTACTACTTTTCTATAAACGGAAAATGAAAGAAAAGTATGAACCGCAAAACGGGATTGGAAATAGTCTTTGGGAACAAGTATGAGCATACTTGAAAAATCCAATCCTAAGTTCCCTTCAATATGAAATTGATATATTTTGATTTTATTAGAGAAACCAGCATAAATTGTATATCTTCACTCATGTCTGCAATTAACAAACTATAAAGAATCTAACTCTAGAGTGCTTTGATATACTACAATCCTTTTAAGGTTGTGAAATGATATACTTGTAATGCGAATCTGTTAAGAAGCTTTAATGGTTGATTCTTAGTACGATATGCATGTCTCATAAGACAATGTGACCAGAAAAATATTTGACAAATAAATAGGGAAGAAACATACGAAATGAAATTCTGTCCTAATTTTCTTTTCTTTTTTGCTCTAGGCAACCTACTGTTGGAACAGTGGAAAACTACTGGCCTATCAAAAGAAGGTAAGCTTTTATTTCTTCGCTGCTCATCTTTGTATAAATTTGTGATAAGTTTCAACAATGCAAGATAATGGCTAATTGTACATTATTGAATTTAATGAAGGTATATTGAAGAATAAAGATATTGAAACTCCAGTCGTATGCAATATATTTGATGTTAATGGCGAGGTAGCTGCTGGTGTTGCTAGTGTGGAAGCTCTTGTAAGTTGATCATTCAAGGATTAAGCTATCAAGTAGTCTCAAAACTTAAACAAGCAAAAAGATGTGATTCACAATCTTTCGTATGTTTAAAATCAATTTTCATTTATAAAATAACCTTATTCAATCATGTTGTTGCAGGAAAAATATTTGACTCCTGACTGGATTTTACGCTTCAAGAGCACTTTACTTTCTGCTCCAGTGTTGATGGTCGATGCAAATCTAAGTGGTCCTTCCCTCGAAGCTTCTTGTAAAAGTAAATTGCATTTAATCTTTTAATTTGCTCCTCCTCTGTCTCTACTGCATTATAAGCTCACTACAAATGCTTCTTTTTTGTTGTTACATGAAAATCATTGTTCTCAGTGGCAGCTGACACGGGGTGCCCTGTCTGGTTTGAGCCGGTGTCAGTTACTAAATCCCGAAGAATTAGTAATATTGCCAAGTATGTGAGTGTCATGCTTCATTCAAACATAATATTCTTTCTTAAATATATTTTGAGAATTTGCGAAATACAATAGTCTGAAATAGTTGTAAATTACTGTTGTGATGTCACAAAACATTTCTACTTTTGTCTTGGATTCTTCATATTCATTATTATTTTTAATGAATTCAGAATTATGCATTAATTCAACCTTCTGCTAGCATCACTAGAAATATTTTTAGATGTATTCACACTGTACACGTCACATTTGTTTAAGTTTATATAATTTTGATGCTGTTCATGCTTATATAACTCATTTATTGTATCAAAATTCTTATCTATGACGTGTCTGTATACTTTTTTTAGGTAACTTTTGCTTCCCCAAATGAAAATGAACTTATTGCGATGGCAAATGCTTTATCCGGTAGCGGCGAGTTCCACTCACTTAAAGAAAATCATAAGAAAGATAACCTATCAATCGGATCTTTGTTTCAAATACTGAAACCAGCAGTGTTGGTTTTACTAGAAAAAGGCATTAAAGTGGTTCTAGTGACCTTAGGCTCAAGTGGAGTGTTTTTATGCAGTAAAGGAGGGCCAAGCTGCTTTAAAATTCCCGTTGCAAAAACAAATCGGAACAATTTTAGTGGACAATTATACAATGCTGTTATGCATAACTGTCCACCTAATTGTTATTCAGGTTTTACAGAACATGATAGAAGCAATCGTGTCTTTGCTGTGCATTTGCCTTCACTCCCTGCTTCAGTTGTGAGGCTCACCGGGGCTGGTGATTGCTTGGTTGGTGGAACACTCTCATCAATTTGTGCAGGATTAGATATTATGCAAAGTGTGTCTGTTGGCATTGCAGTTGCTAAAGCTGCTGTTGAGGTGGAATCAAATGTCCCTTCTGCTTTCAGTTTAGCTGCCATTGCTGGTAAGATTTTATCTATGCATTTAATTACAGTCTTTGTAGCATTGACGCTTTAAATCGGATGTGCCTTTGGTGTTTGACACCTGTCAGTATCCGACACCGACACGGTACTGACACATGCGATTACATTCAATCATTTTTATTTTCTTCAATTATTTTAAGGGTTTTACATGTCAATTTCAGTATTATGAGTCATGACCTTCTATGTGTGATATTCTGTTGTTCCGTCTTTCTTGCCATCTTGCCATGACCTTCTATGTGTGATATTCTGTTGTTCCGTCTTTCTTGTACAGATGATGCCAAGTCTGTTTTTTGTCATGCCAAAGTGCTGTTTCACCAATCAATGCTGTAGGTTTTGCATGAAGATCACATTAACAAGCTTCTTTGGGGCCAAAAGTGCTGTTTCACCAATCAATGCTGTAGGTTTTGCATGAAGATCACATTAACAAGCTTCTTTGGGGCCAACAACATATGGTACATCATCCCAAGTTTTCATGCCTTAGAATTCAATGAGTTGGACACACTGAGTAACATGTTTTAATAGATCATTTCACCAAATTCTGTCGCAATCTATTCTCTTAAATGGGATGTCTTCGTTTTACTGTTTTTTTCTTCTTATAGACAGAAACAGATGTTACAGGGGTAGTTACATCTTGTTCTTTGTCTCAAGATTTTCACTATAATCCTCACAGCCCTGTGAAAGACACATTCTAACTATCATAAATCTCAGGGATTATTGATGATTTATAATTGAAAATATTTGGATTCATAAATCTCAGTCGTTTTTAAGTATTATTAATAATACATTTTTTTTTCTATTTATAAAAAATATTTGAATCAACCACACATTTTTTTATCTATATAAAAATAAATTTTATTTTAATTTCTGTTTAAAAAAATATTTGTATCATCAATATATTTTTTTCATATATAAAAGTAAATTAGTTTTGTCAAATATATGTATCAACAAAACACTGTTGAATTATCTACTCAATTTTTTATTATAAACTTCTTAAGGTGTTTCAAATACTTTAGAAAAATTATTGATAGAGTTGTTTTGTTTCATATTTTTAAAAATAAAATAAAATAAAATCATTTGATTAGAACAAAGGAGTTATTTGAATTTTAAAAAATCTATTAAAATTATAACATAACAGACATAAATTTAACATTGGAAAAATTAAATTAAAAAATACTACTATTATTAACATGAATTCAGACCTAAAGATTAATTATTAAGAAACTCATACAATTTTAAACTGTTTAATTAATCTTTAAAATATCTCTTATTAATACTTCCAAAAAAAATTATTAACATACAAATGTCTCTTATTAATATTTAGAGATAATTTTATTGAAATTTTAACTATTTAAATTTGAAAAAAAATTTCTAATATGTACAATAATATTTTGATAAGATTTTTTATTTTCTTTAAAGATACTACTGACCATTAGATGTGATATGCTTGCTAGTAACTGAATATTTTCATGTAAGAATAATCACCTTTAATCTTTATTAAAAGGATGGTGTCGTATGCTTGCTAGTAACAGGAGCTATGAGCTATTAAAGATGGTGGCATCTAGTAACTGCTATGGTGGCATATGTTTGCTAGTAACTGAAGCTATTTATGTACGGAGAATCTCCTTTTATCTTTTAATGAAATGACAACTACACCGTATATATATACTATTACAGGTGTCATTTATTATTTTAATATTATTTCTTTGTATTGGTGTCTGTATCACTCTTGTGAAAAAATTACTTTGTATAGGTACGGTGTAGTAAATTTGGTGTAAGCATAGCAAATCCCTTTAATGAATGATGATAGCATATGCTTGTTAGTAACTAAAGATATTCATGTATGTTGTTTATATATTTTATATGTAAAATAAATAATGATTTGTGTTATATATTTCATATGTTAAATCAGCTTAATAAATCTTATTAACTTCCTGCAGATATATCAATTATGTTGATATCTTAAGAGTTATTTATAATATAGTCATACACGGATAGTAGTTAATAAAAGTCAATCTAATTTAGAGTATATAGCAATCGATGATGTCATTTTAATGTATGGGCAAAGCATCAAGTTTATACCTAATAATTTAGAATGATCACAAAATAGAGAATATTGGCAAAATTAGGTGTCCGAACTCAAAAACCAAGTCTTCCCCGTTTAGTAACGAGTTGGCGAGGCGACCCGTTAATTTTTTATTTTATAATTTGATTTACTATCTAATTTACAAAAAAAAATTATTTATTACCAAAGATGTCGACAAAAGATTTTTTTTAAAAACACATAATAGAAATTCAACATGTCTTAAGTCCAAATATTTATGAAATAAATAAAGACAAATTACAACAACAAAAAATAACGAAAGACTTTCTCACTGTTTACATCATATAGATTATTATATTGACTGATTACTTGATAATTAAATCCTAAATTTGTCACACGTATACATTAATCAAATCATTCTTTTTCTTAAAATCAACATCTATTTTTAAAGAAAACATGTGAGTTAATGTTTGACAACTTAATAATTCAGCATGACATACAATTGCTCTTTTATTTTAAGTTTTTTCAATCAACACATGTATTAGAAAGTTATAAAAAGAACGTTACAATTATAATTTATTTTGTTTGTATAATAATTTATAAAACAATTCAATCAACATAAAACTAAGAAATGAGTGTTATTTTTATAGTTAAAGTTGTTTTAATTCTAAGTAAAAAATAAAAAGTTTTAACAAAAAGCCCGTGGCCAAAACCCATTTCGCCCCGCTTTTTTCAAGCGGGTTAGGCGGGGCAGGCCAACTTAAAGTATTAAGTCGAAAATCTCAGCGTAGTCCGCCAAAAATGGCGGGTCAAACAGGCCGATTCGGCAGGCTCAACCCGTTTTGTCACCCCTATCCTCATTAACACATTCGAATGAAGTGAGTGTCTTTGAATAACTTAAGCCTAATAAACAAATAGCTAAAATACATTAAAAAATAATTATGGCTATAACAATGATAAATATAGATGAATTTAATATAAATTATATCACCTTGCATTTCTTTTCGGAACCAATCTTGGGTGCACATTAAAGCCTCTAAAGTGTCTTCCTTAAACCAAATACGTTATGGAGTTATAACATGATCACTAGTACTAAAGGTAGATTCTGAAGCAAATGTAGAGATAGGGATTGCTAAAAAGTTTTTTGCAATCTTTTGCAAAGTTGAAAATTTCAAACCATTTTGTTTCCACCATCCTAGTATGTCAAAATTTTCAATTATTTTCTTTTTTTCTTTGTCAAGCAAGATACCATCTTCTAAGTAAAAAAAATACGACTTTGCACTAGTAGTTGAAGCATTTTCCATCACATAGTCCAAATAACTTTGCTCTCAAGTTTGACTTGAAGTACTAGTAAGAGTAACATCTTTCAATGGTGATGCACTAGTTTCACTACTAGTTTGAACCATATTATCATTTGTTTTATATTCATCTATCAAATCTTCACACAATTTCTTCATCCTTTCCAATTCTTTGGAAGCATCACTTTCATATATACGAGGAAAGAAGTAATTCAACAATGATATTTTGTATCTAGGATCCAAAACAGCCTCTATTGCCATCAGCCCATTAATCAAACTCAAATATTTGTCAAACCTCACTACCATGTTTGTTGCCATACTTTGAATGCTAGCACTAGAAGAACTTTGCCACTTTCTTAAAGCCAACCTTATTTCACAAATTTTGGGAAAATAAATGTTTGATGTTGGATACTTAGTACCTGAGAACAACTCGGTGACGATAAAAAATAACTTCAAATTGTCACAAATTTCTCTTGTCATTTTTAAATCTTCATCACTTGGTAAGTATGTATATTGAGTATGATGTTTAAAACAATGTTTAAAAACTTTTTCATAAGGAAATGCAGAAGCAAACCTTAAATAAGTAGAGTTCCACCTTGTTCTATAATCTTGTGCAAACTTCTTTGCATAATTTATGTTCAATTGGTGACAAATATCTCTAAATTTATCCTCCCTTTTTGGTGTTGCAACCCAATAACCAACACTTTCCCTGATTTTTTAAATCGAACCAGAAATTGCTTGCATGTAATCTTTTACTATCAAGTTTAAGATATGCGCGCAACAACGCATATGGAATAATTCCCCATTCAAAACAAATCTATAAGATGGTATCTTGTCGAAAAAAGTGATCAATTAAAGCACCATTGGTGCTACAATTATCAACCGTTAATGTTAACAATTTCCTATCAATATTCCAATCCATCATACAAGATACCAAAAAATCACAAATGACTCCAGCAGTGTGTGGTGCATGCACATAAATAAGCCTAAAATGAATTGTAATTAACGTTAATTACGATAACCACATTTTAATAATAGTATAAATTTTGTCAAAAAAATAGCATAAATGGAGTGAATATAAATTATAATACTTACCCGATGATTCGATTTTGTAAAATCCAATTTTCATCGATGTAATGAGTTGTAACTGCCATATATCCTTTGTTCTGATGGCTAGAAGTCCACATGCCACTTGTTATAGCAATGCGACTTTTGTTTTTTTTCAAGTAACTTCATTTGCTTTGCCTTCTCACTTTCAAATAACTTAATTATATCATTCTTTATGGTAATGTGAAAAGCTATGTTGAACATAGGTTGAAGAGAATGTATAAAATTTCTAAAGCCAATATGGTTAACCATCATGATGGGATATTCATGCAATGCAATCATTTTTGCAAGTTGATTCCTAGAAAGATCTTGATTAAAAGTGTAATTTTCAAACAAAAAAGATTCTCGTCTAGATTCTGACACTTGCTCGGTTACTTTAAGCAAAGCTTGGTTTGGACCCTTTTTATCACGAATTGGACATATTCGAAGATGGTCACGTAGATGCGTAGTACCTGCAGTTGTGTTACCACCAAGTTTCTTATTACAGTATTTGCAAATGACCTTCCAAACACATCCTATTATTTCCCTTTTGAAATGGGGACAAACATCTTATTTTAGTCCTTTTTCGTTAGGATTTATATTCGGCTCAACAACAGCTTCTGCATCTTGATTTTCCATATTTGTCTCATTCAGAGTAGTTTGAGCTTCATGTGTTGCTGGAACCTCATTGGGAACTGTTTCAGTTTGGGCTTTACGTTTAAAAACCATCTTTTAACAAAAACCTATCCAAAAAAAAACATACACTTAAAAACAAAAGAATAAACTCTCACACAAATTAGAAATTCTACAACAAAGCAAAGATACCCATTGTTAGATAATAAGTAATCTAAAACTAAATTTAGTTAGTAGTATTTTGATAAAGAAAAATTATTGATTGTGAAATT